CTTTCGAATTGAAAATGTTGCATCATGTAGTCCAAAGACGTTTGCACTATGTTGTGCAGAGGTCTTTGCTTATTGCAGACATGGTTTGTCCTTGTTAGCTTGTTTATCTGAAGTTACTTGAATTTTGGGATTTCAAGTAGTCCAACATATTTTTAAAAATGTTGCATCATGTAGTCCAACATATTTTTATTTTAATATACTACGCATAGCATAGGATTGATTTTCCAAAGTATTGAATTGTACATATACTAGGAATAAAATGTTCATAAAAATTATCGGTACCTAACTCTGAAAAACTGCCAATAAGGAAAAGGAAAAAAAAAAATACTTTTAAATATTTATGAACATCTATTAAAATATAAAGAGGGAATGATGGTTTTTTGAAAAAATCATGTGGAAAATCAGGAAAAAAAAGATTTCAGTTCCCGCCTAAATTTTTAATGTAATCAGTGCATTTTTTTGGCGAAAATTGAGCAAACTCCCGCCCAGCAAACTCCCGTCCATGGAATTCCGAAATTTTGGATGTCAATTTTAATAGGAGTGATTTCAGCACCTTTATATGGTGTGCAGTTATTATGGGATGATGATAAGATTTGGTCAGATTTTTATGGCACTTATTTGTAGATATCCTAATCTAAAAAAAGAACGGTAAGCAGAATAATTTTTTTTTGCCTACGCTCTTATCTTTGCTGATATCCACGTTCCTACATCGAGATACACAGAAAAAAAAAAAAAGAAATGGCACGGTTCTGTGGTACACTCGCGGACATCGATAGGGCCACCCAACCGTATTTGAGATTAAGAGTAGTCAATATTCTTGAATCAAATTTCGAGCTGCAGTCCAAGAACAATATTCAAATTCTGTTTCATGATGAAAATGTAAGCATACGAATTGTTTTATGAAACATACATAATTATATTAATTATTTTCGTTAATTGTATAACTTTTTATTGTAGGGTTCACCCATAAATAGCATCATTCGTTGTCGAAGCATGGAATTATATCGAGATGTGTTCAAAGAAGGCAAAGTTTATACAATCCACAACTACAATATTGAATTGAATAATCAGAGGATCAATACAACCGGCCACAGATGGATGCTTGTGCTTCATCCAAAGACAGATGTATTCACGTACGAGGGAAATTTCCCTAATCACTAATTAGGGTTCCGAGATTATGAAGATGATTGCATGGATTTCTTAGGAATTATGAAATTTTTATATTAGAATTTTAATTCGAGTTGTTTAGGGTTTAATAATTTTATTCCATGGCATTGCTAGAATTTGATAATATTTATTTACGTTGTGGGACTTTTATGAGTATTATTATGTTTTCGTTTATTATTCAACTCAATTCGATTTCATGCTTAAACATGATTATTGTATTTTAAATTGATCTCTATATATATCAACTAAATTTTTTGGTAAAACTAACAATAAACTAATCTATTATTAAAACCTAAATGTTGATTGTCAAATATTTCGACAATCTATTAATATATAAAGAGGGAATGATAGTTGTTTGAAAAAATCAACAAAAAAAAAAATTTTCAATTCCCGCCTAAATAAATACTATAATGAGGATTTTTTTGGTAAAAAATTGAATAATCCCGCCCATATGCAATTCAAAATTTTTGGAGGCTTTTTTTACTGATTTAAGCCTATATACCCGCCGGTTCTCATATGGGATGATTTTGGATAATTTTATTTTTTTATCATTTAAAGATTTGGTCAGATTTGGTCAGATTTTTATGCCAAAATTTTGTTTGGATACGTCCTATATTATCTCAACTTTCATATTCCATATAATCTACCACTCATACAATCTTTTTTTTTTTTTTTTCGGTACAACCACTCATACAATCTTACAAGCACAATAATATGCGGGTATAACTCGAGAAAAAAACTCATCGTGAAAATCTCACTCACGGAGGATCCAAAACCCTCCAATTCTCAAGGCCAAAATTCCCCTCAGCATCATTGACCTCCCCTTCTCCTCCGCCACGATCGTCGCCGGCGATCGCCACGAACTTTCCATTAGATTTGGAGCCGGGCTCACTGCTTAAGTTTAGCTACTTTGCCTGTCCTTGAAGACCGGCGTCAGGTTATTCAGTTCCGTGACGACGGAATTCGGCTCCATCGGCGGTGGAAACCCCAGATTTCTGCTTCACTTCAAGTCCAGATTTGGAGANAGGTTGTTAATTGATGGCTAATTGCGGTTGTTGAGCTCAAATGAG